CTGGCCGTGGAGGTTCTTGCTGGTCTGGTCCAGGAGGCAGAACTAAAAGCTGTTTCACCGGTTTTCAAGTGAATAAGATTTTCAAACTTTTTTTCTGATATAAAAAGATAAATACAATCACTGAGCACTTTATTAGGAACACCATACTAACACCGGGTAGTTCTTCCCTTTGCTCTCAGTTCTTCATGGCCTGGATTCATTGCTCTAAGACTCTGCTCCAAGTTGACATCTCCTGTTCTACCACATCCCAAAGGTGCTACTGGATTCAGGTCCAGAACATGGATATAATTCAATTAAAGGTCCCATATTTTACACACACTATTATTTTTCTCCAGTGTTTGATTTGAAGTGTTGAGCCATAAGAAGACATATTTGTGGTTTTAAGAACCAAAAACCATCTCAGTGTAGTTTTAGCAGGAGTTCTAGTAACACCAGGTCGGTGAGCCAATCAGAAGAGAGGAGGCTCTGAGCCTCTCTTCTGATTGGCTGACTATTTTCTGAGTGATCCAGTGAAATATAGCAGATTTCAGGTAAACGCTCAGAGAATCGAAATCCTACAAAGTTGGGTGGTGGGTCCGGGTGGGCAGGGCTTGGGGCGGGTCTGAGAGCGTTGACTGCTTTGTTGAGACATCACAAAGTAACAGAAATCCCGACGGCTCGTTTTAAGGCTCAGTTGAATACAGACTGTGTGTATTTCTCTGTGGACTGAGGGTTTTGATAAAACATGGAAATCTCACTTTATATAATATGGGACCTTTAAGATATAATTCCTATTTTGTGAAGTTAAAGTGACCTTGATGGAGCAGATAGATCACTCTGAAGTGACTGATTACTCTGCTCCTGATCAGAAATCTGCTAACACCATGTCAGAGTGAATCATGGAATGAAAACAAAATAGGGTTCAGTTTGATTAACAGGACAGGGCTGCACTGACCAACAGACCGACACTACCATCCCTCAAGCCACACCACTAGCATGCCATATGGCAAAACATGCCTTGAATGTAGAAATAATTTGGTTTAAAATAATCAGATTCAACAAAAAAAACCCTCTCCCTCTATGTAAACCTGTGGTTAATGGTTCAAGTGTGGCTAAAGGCTTCCTTAACCATATTTCAACATGTTAAAATCATAAATTTAAATTTCAGAGAGTTCGAGTGTGGCTCCAAACTGGGGCAGATTTTTCTATCAGGAGTGTTCAGTGGATTCCAGCGTTCACCTGCCACAGTCAGTCGTCTGTGAGCCAAACTGATTTGGAGAGTAGGATTCAGCCTCCAATAATAACTGGCACCTGAACTGAGCGTCTGGCAGAGCAGACGAGTGTGTGGCCGCAGTCACAAACTGCCAGAGTTTAGATAGCAGCTCATGTTAATTTATCATCCCGCTCACAAGCTGAATCCCATCGACCAGAACACCTCACCCAGCCTCCCTCCCGCTACAACACTTCACTGCTGCTGATTCTGACACGAGCTGGAGGAAAGTGACAGTTTGATTTAACATGTTTGACATTAAAAGTTAAATTCTGTCATTTCTGTAAAGAATGACCTCTATGCAAATGCACCACACGGATGCTTTGTTCAGTGTTTTTCAGTCTAATGTGTGGGATGGAGCAGAGAGGTGGAGAGTGGAGGAGTTTGTGAGCAGCTGCAGCAGACTGAAGAAAACCTCCACAAAAAATGAAGATAATAAATAAACCCAATCTGTTTGTGCTGTTTTGTGCAGGAAAATTATATTATATTATATTATATTACATTATATTATTATATTATATTATATTATATTATATACTTGATCCATACTGTGGATTAAGACCATACTGTTCAGACTAACTTGAACCGCAGCCTCTTCATTGATTTGATTGGCCAGTTCTGTGGCGCAGTGATATGGTCAACACAGGGGACTCGAGCAAAAACATGCATGGTCGTCCAAGTGAACCTGACTTAACTTAATGATGATGGGTGAGGAGGGCGGGGTACACCTGAACAGGTCACCAGTCCAACCTGCATGTCTTTGGATTGTGGGAGGAAACCCATGCAGGCACATGGAGAACATGCAAACTCCCAACAGAACCCAGAAGCTTCTCACTGTGAGGCAACAGTGATACCCACTGTATCACCATGCCACCAATATAATATAGCTGTAATATAACATAACATAATATAACTATACATAATATTATAATCTGTTGTGCTTTGTTTTGGTTTCCAATAAACCATCACACTTACGTATGTACCTGTTTCTCCAATTGAATTTCCCGGATCATATTTCATTTACCCAGAAACAGCAGCTGAGCTGTTTTTGGTCTGAACACCTGTAGTGGGTTCTCAAAGTGGGGTCCGGGGACCACCAGGGCTCCTTGAGGGTCCCCAGTAAAAAGGAATAATTTATTTTCCCTATAATTCCATCTATAAGTAACACAATGACAGAATGTATATTGTTCATGGGTTTTCGAAATCTAATTTGTTTCAGTTTAGGGTCCTTGATGTTAAAAAGTCTGAGAACCACTGCACTAAGACCACCACAATTAGTCTAGACCGACAGCCCCTCATTCGTTAGAATAAGAGCAGAGCGTGCTGCCAGTGCAGATGGCTCTGGATAAAAAACACAAAGAATAATAATAAAAAAAAAAAAAGATGGGTAGTAAAGAAGTTGAACCTGGTACAAATTTGTATGTCTAACACAAGACTAGACACAAGTCTGAAAAACTAAACACAACTAATAAAATCTCTGTAGAGCTCATTTAACACAGCGAGTCATATTATCACTGTACATTTCTATGAGAAAATCTGATTTCTACATAATTTTCCACATATTTCACGAACCTAAATTAGACCCTTCTTCCATGTATAATAACTTCGATGTGCAACATACTCTCAGTTTCTCACTGTGTATACATGCACGTATTGACATGGTGTGATTTTGTAGAAACTGTCGGTCAGTGTCTCATTTTATTTTACTTTTATCTTTAACTCTACGTTTATCTTTTGTACTTTTGTTTTTTGCTTTCATTTCATTTGAATCTTATGTGAACATATTTTGTATTTTTACATTGGGTTTGTGTGTCAATGGACTCATTTTGCGTTTTTACATCTACACATCAGCTTGCACTAATAGACAAATAAAAGTCTTTTAGAAGTGAAAATGTCCAAGTGTCAGATTCCAGCGGGAGAAAAAGCAACAAAAAACTTTATCAGACATCACTGACAGGATGAGTTTTATTTACAAAATCCACCGTTATTGTTGGTTATTCAAAAATGCTGCATATTGATTATTGATTGCGGCTGTCAGGTGTTGATTTTGAAGGCTTCCAAAAGTGGTGACAGTCAGACAGGGACAAAACTGACGATGTAAGAAGCCGAGTCTCCACCTTGTTTGTTTGTTTGTCTTGAGGAATTCATTTGAACAGATTCTATTTTGATAAGCAAAAGCTGCGAGGAAACATTAAAACTTTCTCCTGTCAGAACAGACAGTGGAGGGAAGAAGCAGCAGGCTCTGTCGTCACACTCTGCCCCAGGCGGAGCCTTTTATCTATCAAACTTTACCACACCAGGGGGTCTGCTGCTATTTCTGGCCTCCAGTCATATGTTTTTGTCTTCCTAAATTTTCCTGAAGTTGGTGTTTGTTGCTGAGCAGTTGTAGCCAAAACTCACACAGCTACACACACAGCCGGTGACTGGCTGGAGTGGCTCTGTTTGTTGCCTGGGATCGAGGTGTTGGCTTTAACACTGACAGACTGGGGAGCGGAGGCATGGGTGGGGGGGTGGGGGGGCTTGGGGCCGGCGGGGGGCGCGCTGGGTTGAATCACTT